AGAGTAAAGCTCCCTCTACACTGTCCCCTCATCAAACACTCCCAGGACAGGGCAGAGTGAATCTCCCTCTACACTGTTCTGTGCCTCAATCTCAGAGGCGACCCTTAATCAGATGATAATGATGAACTAATCAATGACGACCCATTCCCACCAGCCATGTACAAGCCCTGCTCCCTGCTCCTGTCCAGGTGAATCCAGCTGCTGAGTGGGAGGTGGTTTTCCCCTTCCCCTGGAATTCCTCTACAGCCTTTGAGGAGCTGCCGCCTATCTTGTTCCACAGGCCTGCACCACTTGTCTCTAAACCCTCTGCCTTTGTGGCGAGACTGAAGGAGATGTCATGGGCTGTTCATTGGCAAAGGGACTCCAGCCAAGCCCCTCACCAGCGACAGGTGTAAGGGCATGGAGTGCAAACTGGCCGACAGTGGGTGGGGAAGTCAACCCTTGCTTGCAAAAGGACAGAGTTTTAATGTTTCGTGCACTTTTTCTGCTTTCTCTCTGTTGAACTGACCTGAAATGGAAGCTCTTTGATGTAACACTGTGGCTTTTGAGGATGCTTGACTATTAAATTAAGGTAAAAAATGGCAAGGACAAAAGCAAAACTAGTTGAGGAGCACTTTTTCTGGAGCCAGTATGAATGCTGATGGGCAGAAGGCCCTGTCCCTGTGCTGCATCGTTCTACAAGCTACCAAGTGCTGAGGGATGTCTGGGTGAGAGAGCGGCAAGGTTGAGACTACAGTGTCTGTTAGTAGCTCAGCTTCCCACAGACACAGAGCTTCTGAGAACAAACTCCAGGGCTGGCTCTTAGAGGTCTCCAGCAAAGAATACAACGTTCTTCAGCCCATTGAGTCTGTGCTGGTCAAAAGCCAGCTAACTATTACAGTCCCATTTTCCAACACTTGGGGCCCATTGCCTTGGCACCACAAGTGTACATCTAAATACTTCTTCAATGTTACTGCCTCTTTAGTTGTGATTCCCCACCCCCGTCTAAACCTCCTGCCCCCTTCCCTTAAATCCATGCCCCCCACCCTCCACCTCGGACAATGCTCCTTCCTGTCTACCCTGTCAATGCCCCTCAATTTCATACACCTTTGGGGTTACCATTGTTCAGAAACTCAACTGGACTTGCCACATGAGCACAGTGGCTACAAGAGCAGGTCAGATGCTGGGAATCCTGCAGCGAGTAACACACCTCCTGACTCCTCAAAGCCTGTCCCACCATCTACAAGGCACAAGTCAGGAGTGTGATGGAGTACTCCCCGCTTGCCTGGCACCACACCCTCAAGCAGCCACTCCCTCTCAGTAGCAGCAGTGTACCTTCTACAAGATACAGTGCAGAAACTCACCAAAGATCCTCAGACAGCACCTTCCAAACTCTCAACCACTTTCATCTAGAAGGACAAGAGCAGCAGATACATGGGAACACCACCACCTCCAAGTTCCCTCTCGGCCACTCACCATCCTGACTTGGAAATATAATCGTTCCTTCACGGTCCCTGGGTCAAAATCCTGGAACTCCCTCCTTAATGGCATTGAGGGTCAACCCAAAGCAGGTGGGCTGCAGCGGTTCAAGAAATCAGCTCATCCCCACCTTCTCAAGGGGGCAAGTTGGGACAGGGTCAATAATTGCTGGGCCCAGATAGCAACAGCCTCATGCCATGAATGAATAAAATTAAAATCTCAATCACAGTCCCATCTCAGTCCAAGGGGAGAGAACATAGTTAACGATTTGCGTCCAATGACCCTTCTCCTCTGCACAGATGCTGCCAGACCTGCTGGGTTTCTCTAGCAATTTCTCATTCAGGTATCCAACATCCACAGTTCCTTGTTTTATTCCGTCTGCCCAACCACTGCTTGGAGGTTTTGATCAGCTGGGGCCTAATTTAAAAACGGAACCTCAAACTGTTTTTGGTCTCCGAATTATGACTTGCAACTACGAAACAGCTTGGAGTAAGGTAAACAAGATCAGCGAGGTGTGACTGAATGGGCAAAATGAACTTAAGAGGGCATCGACACCAGTTCTGGGGGAAATGGGAGCTTGTACTGTTGGGGGATGGGTTTCACCTGAACCACACTGGGACCAGTTCTTACATGAATTATGCAGAAAAAAAACCAGAGGGAAGTCACAGACTACCAGAGAATCAATTTTGGGGAACGATCATCAGTGTGATATAGGAGGGGACAGGATACACAACACTCAAAGGGTTCACCGAAACCAGAGATTGCAAAAACCATTAAAGCAACAGAATTTAAGCCCTGTATCTGAAGGTGCGCAGCATTCTCAACAAAATGGATGCATCTTTGGCCCAGATGTCTCATAGTGGGATTTGAACCCCAGGCATCAGAACACAACCTGGGTCTCTCACTGATTATTAGTTAATATCACTAGGCCAACACCTTCCCATTGTGATTCATACTCAACAACAGAAAATCCATTTGCAAATTACTTCCTGGCTATGCAGCCATTTTTCAATAGACACTCCAGAAACACTCAGCAGGTCGAGCAGCATCTGTGGAGAGAGATCAGAGTTAACATCTTGGTTCGAGTGACTGTTCTGAGGTAGGGTCACTCGATCTGAAACATTAACTCTGATTTCTCTCCAAAGATGCTGCCCGACCTGCTCCAGCAATTTCTGGTTTTGTTTCTGACTTACAGCATTTGTAATTTTTTTGTGTTTTTTTGAAACTATAGAGACACTCTTCACATTGTGTACTCATATCACCAAGCAGCTCCTACCTGGTTAGCAGCCGAGTTGTCCACTTGCGTTATCGATGTCTGCAAGCATTTCCCACCTCACACCTAAATGATTGTTTTCCAAATGAGCCTGGGCACGGACAGAACGTTGATCATCAAACCAGACACCGGTCTCAATGCTCCCCTCCATACAGGAGATCCCGGTTATTCCAACTGCCTCACACTGTCACTCAGTAACCCCTCTCCCCGCCCCAGCGCCCTGTGTTACTGACTGTATCCCTACTGACGTTAATCCCTCTCCCTCACACTGTCACTCAGTAACCCCTCTCCACCCCCACCCAGCACCCTGTGTCTACTGACGTTAATCGCTCTCCCTCACACTGTCACTCAGTAAGCCCCCTCTCCCCACACCCCAGCGCCGTGTTACTGACTGTATCTCTACTGACGTTAATCCGTCTCCCTCACACTGTCACTCAGTAACCCCTCTCCCCCCCAGCGCCTACTGAAGCTAATCTGGCTCCCATATGCAGAATCACACAAAGTTAAGCGCAAAAGAAAACATTTCAGGTGTGTATTAAAAACGATTGCTGAATCTGTTCGCCCCCACCACCTCCCCATCATTCCCGAGCAGAGCTGAGCAGTCCCTGGGAGTAAGGCCCTCCCCCGCCAGCACCTCATGGTGCATCGTCCCAGTACCCACCTGCTATGGCAGGGGCATCACCAGGCTGCCCACTGAATCAGAGACAACGTCCCAAGCACGGCTCACTGAATGCTGGACCCCGGGGTCACAACCCAAGGCCTGAAGTTGGCCCCCGGTTAACCTGATTGGGCTGCAGAGGGAGGGGTTTGCAGGCAATCGCTGGCATGTTGAGACATCCCCTCAAACCCGCTAACCCCCTCACCTCCCCCCAACAAACCACATACACAAACATGGAGAAAGAAAACTTCCCCCTCCCCCCAAAAAGCAGAATTATAAGATGTAGTTTATTTACAACTTTTTTTTTTAAGAAAATAGGATGCTTCGAATATAAACCCTTTTTAAAAACTCTGTGACATTTTTTCTTAAGAATCCAGACAGTCTCTTGCACTGGTGAGAAAGGCTTTTTTTTTTGCAAGTCCGCGATGCCTGATTAATTGTCTTTTATTTCCTCTCTCTCTCTTTCTCGCTGAATGAATCTCTCAGACCAGTCGACCTCTGCAGAATGCTGCTGCGCTCAGTCTGTGTTTCACTGCAACCGCTTGCTAGCTGGGACACAGAACAGTGTGCAACAGTAGCTTCCTGCTGGCTGTGTGTGACAGTGTGTAGGTTCTTTCCTTCTCTCTAAATTCAGAGGGTAGAGATGTGGAAGCAGCACCTTATTGCAGCCGTGCTTCTCTGTGTCGTGCTCTCGCTGTCTGTCTGTCTGTCTGTGTCTGGCCGCCACATGCTCAGTCGCTGTCAGACCCGACTGCAGACGAACCTCTCCGCTTCCTCTTCGGTTTGGGTTTCGCATCCTCCTCTTCCTGAAAGGCCGGGGTGGGAACAAGCACCGGCACTCAGCTGGGTCAGCGGACATTACAGAATCTGCTCACCCCTAACCTCGCTGCCCTCAGCCAGCATCTCCGCCCGTGGCCTGTTCTCCCACCCTCTCACTCCAAGACTCAATGCTCAGTTAGCCAGCACTCTGAGCGGGGAGCGGGGTGGGGGGGGCAGGGTCACTGGGTTTGGGCGTAGCAGGATCGGGGGGTACTCTCTCCCACGAGCAGTGGGGCAAGAACAGTTTAAATTGGATAAATGTGAGGTATTACAATAAAAACAAACACAGGACTTTTACAGTTAATGGCAGGGCACTGGGGAATGTAGTCAAACACACACCCTAGGGGTTCAGGAACATAATTCTCTGAAACAAAAACAAAGTTGCTGGAAAAGCTCAGCAGGTCTCACAGCATCTGTGAAGGGTCACCGGACTAGAAACGTTAACTCTGTTTTCTCCTTCACAGATGCTGCCAGACCTGCTGAGCTTTTCCAGAAACTTGTTTTTGTTCCTGATTTACAGCATCCGCAGTTCTTTCGGCTTTTATTTAGTAATTCTTTCACAGTTGCTTAAGGTGGCATTTGGCGCGCTTGCCTTCGTAGTGTTCCGAACACCGAGTATAGGGATTCGGACATGATATTGCGGTTGTACAGGACGTTGGCGAAGTCACTTTTGGATTGCTATGCCCAGCTCTGGTCACCCTGCTATAAGGAGGACATTATTAAATTGGAGAGGGTGCAGAAAAGATTTACAAGGATGATACCACAACTGGAGGGGGTTTGAACTGTAAGGGGACACTGGATAGGCTGAGAATTTCTTCCCTGGAGCGCAGGAGGTTGAGGGGTGACCTTACAGAGGCTTATAAAATCATGAGGGGAATAAATAAGGTGATTAGCAAAGGGCTGTTCCCTAGGGAAGTTCAAAACTGGGGGTGGGGCGGCTGATTTTAAGGGGAGAGGGGAAAGATTTATAAAAGGGACATGAGGGGCTACTTTTCTACACAGAGGGTGGTTTAGATGCACAAGGGACTGCCAGAGGAAGTGACAGATGCAGGTACAGTTACAACATTTAGAAGAAATTTGGATAGATCCAGGACTTGAGGGATTAGAGGCCAAATGACGGGGGTGGGAAGTTGGCCTGAAGGGTCTGTCTCCACACTCTATAAACTCGGTAAGTGGGTCTAGTTTAGTTTGTGATTATGGCCTGCATGGACGGGTTGGGGCCAAAGGATCTGCTCCCGTACCGTGTGACTCTATGACTCACCGTCCCACTGCTGGAGGAGGAGTCTTCATCATTGCCAACAGGCTGCGAGGCATTCTTCCGGCTCCTGGGGCTGGAGGCTGCTGTCTTACGTCGACTCCGGGATGGTTTCGAGGAGTCTTCATAATCATCGGCCAGTGCAAACAGGTCGCTGAACCTGTGGGTGGGAGTGGGCGGGTGGTGCGGACACTTTAATGCAAACTACTGAACACACATTGGGGAACGTGTCTGTGCATGAGGGCACACGCTGGTGAGAACAGAGTTAGACTCCCCACATTAACACAGGGGCTAACAACAGCAGGTCAGAAGCTGGGAATCCTGCAGCGAGCAACTCCCCTCCTGACCTGCCCCGCCACCCCCCAAAGCCTGTCCCACCATCGACAAGGCATAAGGCAGGAGTGTGAGGGAATACTCCCCACTAGTTTGGATGGGTATAGCTCCGACAACACTCGAGAAGCTCGACACCATCCAGGACAGAGCAGCCCCCGCTCGATTGGCACCACATCCACAAACATCCACTCCGTCCACCACCGACGCTCAGTTACAGCAGTGTGTACCATCTACGAGATGCACTGCTTCTTACTCAGCACCTTCCAAACCCATGACCTCTAGCATCTGGAAGGACAAGGGCAGCAGGTACGTGGGAACACCACCCCCTGCAAGTTCCCCTCCGAGCCACTTGCCATCCTGGAGCTGGAAATATATCGCTGTTCCTCACTGTCACTGGGTCAAAATCCCAGAATTCCCACCCCCCTCCTCCAAAGGGAATTGTTGGTCAACTTGCAGCACATGACTGCAGCAGTTCAAGAGGGCAGCTCACCATCACCTTCTCAAGGGGCAGTTAGGGACAAGCAATAAACAACACACGTCCTGCAAACAAAGAAACACAGTACAGCCACCAAACCAGCACCCACCACCCCCCGGCCTGGAACAAGGGAGCAGACTTGAGGGGCTCTGGAACACAGAACTTGCTGTGCCACATTCATTCACTCCCTCCCCAGCAGTTACCCACACCAAATCTCCCAGTTACCTGACGAGGTCCTGCACCCCCTCCCTCTCCCCCACCAACTCCGACGCCAGCATCCCCTCCCTCCCCAAGCGGGTGGTCAAACTCGGACTGTGGCCACAGTGCACCCCTAGGCCATCAGCTTCTCCACCCCCCCCCCACCAACATTCCAAGGGACTCACTTCATCTTGTGTGCCTCGTCGCAGCTAGCCTGCACATGCTGAAGTGCCTGCAGGATTGGCGTCTGGGTAAAGACTGCCCGTGGGAAGGTGCGGAGTGGAATAAAGGTACATTAGGAAGGGGTGGGAGAAGGAGACAGAAAGAAACAGTAGGGTTATTACGGATGTAATGGTCCTGTCACTGCACACACACAACACTCCTGCTCTCTCATCTCCTAGGAACCCTGTGGACTGGTGCCTTTTCTCCCCTCCAATCATAACACCAATGTTTGTGCGTGTCTGCCTGGGGCTTTAAAAGGGCACTAAGAGTTCTAATGAGTAGAGCTGTATATTGACAGTTCATTACTGTTTACTTCTGATCAGAAACAACTTATTTTCTAATCAACCTGTTCAGAGATGTTATTACACACTCCTAGAGCAGGTGGGACTTGAACCTGGGTCCTCCTGGGCCAGGGGTAGGGATGCTACCACTGTGCCACAACAGGGCCCCTCATTTTTAAAAAAAAATTTAACCTGTTTTTCTAACCAACCTGTTCAAAGGTGTTCTTCAAGTAACCATAGTCTTACCAGACCATAGCTTTCTCATTACAGAGGAACACGACTGGTGGGGATTTAACCTCAGGCGAGGGGACAGGTTGAGAAGGAGAGTCCTTCATGGTAACCTTGGTCGGTGATGGGAATTGAACCCATGCTGTCAGCATCACACTGCATTGCAAACCAGCCTTCCAGCCAACTGAGCTAACCCAGCTCCACACCTCTGGAGCAGGTGGGACTTGAAACCGGATCCTCCTGGACCAGGGGCAGGAATGCTACCACTATGCCACAAACAGGCACCTCATAGACAGTAGCTCCTTTAAAGGACAGGCACCTGGTCAGAGTTTTAAGTTAACCGGATTCCGTCAGACAGGTAAAATAGCAGACGGTGTGTACTTTGGTTAAACTGTGTGGTGACCCTGGTCCTTATGAATCATTGGGTGCTAACACTCCTTATCCACTTCCGCCCCCCACCCCTCACACACACACCGCGGTAGCGCACTCAGCATCGGGTGAACCGGGCAGCACTGGCACTCACAGTTCTGTTTGGTGGGCAGGAGGCAGAGTCGCAGGTTGGCAAGATGTTCCAGGATTTGCTCCAGGGTGAGCTGTGCCAACTTGCTGCTGGAGCTGCGTAAGCTGCAGAGAGACAGTGTGTGAGAGAGAGAGAGAGGGAGAGAGAGAGAGAGAGAAAAAAAGGATGATGTGTAAACTGCAGGGTGGGAAAAACAACAACCGACTGCATTTATATAGAGAATCATGGGAGAAAAGCCCAGGCCCAGAACAACCCCATTCAGCGCAGCCTGTGCCATCCTTGGACAGGACCAGCTCAGACAGTAACGCATTAGCCACGTTCTGCATCCACCACCCCCCAAGATTACAGGAGAAGGATGCATTGACGACAGAGCAGCGAAGTTTTACTAAGTTGGCCCTATGATGAGGGTTGTCCCACAGCAAGAGGCTGGGTAAACTGGGCCTATATTCTTTGGGGTGAGCAGGAGAGGGGCTTTTGCACATTCTGAGGATAAAGGGCTGATCATTTAAAGGGCTGCCAATGTGAGAGGAGGAGGGATTTCTTCTCTGAGCGGCGTGCGCCTTTGGAACTCCTTGCCTCAGAGTGCTTGTGGGTATTTAAGGCTGAGATAGACAGATTCTCGATCAGTCAGGGAATCGAGGGTTATGGGGAAAGAAGTGCATTTAAGGACAGTCAATCCTACTGAATGGCAGAAAAGGCTCGAGGGGCCAAACTGCCTGTTCCTATCTCTGATGGTCTTATTTAGCACCGAGGAGGAGGAGAAATCTCTTCTGACAGTGGTGAATCTTCAACAGTTCCCTACTGCAGAGGGAGGGCAGGGGGTTTGTGGATTGGAAACCCAGGGTCAGCAGATGGGTTGGGTGGAATGATCCACCTTGCCCCCTTGCTTGTGCGTTGAGCTCAAGAGCAGGAGTGCTGCACTGTCAGAGACACTGCCTACTCAGAGGCCCATCTACCTGCTCGAGTGGGGAATATTTATCCCTCGAGTACAGGCATAATTGCTGAAAATGCTGGTGAAACACAATGCATCCAGCAGCCTCAGCGAAGGGAGAGACAGTTAACATAGAGTCTGGTATGACTCTGTCAGAACACATTCTGGGCATTCGGAAGCAAAGTGTCACCGGACTCGAAATGTTAACTCTGTTCCTCTCTCTACGGATGCTGCCAGACCCGCTGAGTTTCGCCAGCATTTGCTGCTTGGTTTCAGATTACCAGCATCCACAGTCATGTGTTCACACCAGGTCAACCTGCTTCTGGAGTCAAAATAAAAAAACCGTTAATTTCTCCTGTGTAGTTCGACACACAACATTTAGCCAAGAAAAGTCCAAATTACTTGGACTTACCACGTGCTTGCCTCGAAAGTCAAACTCAGACTCTCAGAATGGTCACGGTGCAGGAGGATGCCCTGCCTGTGCTCGCCCTGCTCCCCTGTGCCAATCTCCTGCCTATCCCCCATCTTCCGATGACCCAAATAACCATCCTATGCCCCTCTTCAATGTCTCTGTTGAACCCGTCCCCTCCACATTTCCAAGCAATGCATTCCAGACCCTCACTACTCTCTCTGGGTGAGGAAGCCAGACTCCCTTGGGTATAAACTGGCTTGGCAGAGCCAAATAAAGGTGGCAGGTCACTTCCCCGTGTCCACGCGTGTGCCTTTGCCTCCATCACTGCAATAAAGCTTTAAAGCTGAGTTTATCCTTTACCTCTGCCAGTCCCACTTGGGGAGATGATGTCTAGAGCCAGCTTATAATGGGTGGGTTTTGGTGGTGGGTGGGGGGGGAGGGGGGGGTTGGGGGTGGGTGGAGGTGGGGCCTTGCATACCTGCAGCGCCTTTCACAAGCTCAGGCCTCCCCTGAAAAGCCTAACAAGCCTCTTGTGCTGTGTGGTCACTCACACAAGATAGGAGATGCGACAGCCGACCAGCGCATAGCAAGATCCCAGTCACAGCAACGTGACGACGAGCCAGGGAGCACGTTTAATTGGTAAGTGGGTGAACCGACGTGGGCCAAGCATTGATGACGCTGCACCACCACCCCCTCAACCCAACAGCCATCTTGGGCTGCAAGTGGGTAGAGAGTGGTATCAGGCTGGCTTGTGTGCTCTGTGTATCTGCAGAGAATGTGGCACTCAAGCCCACAACTTGGAGGATTGGAGACAAAGAGAGAGCGGTGGGAGAAACCTCCCAGCCTGGTGAGCTGGCTGTACAGGCGATGCACTTGGAGTAGCAGTGCGGCTCTCTCTCTCTATGTCACAGAGATGGCTGCGTCCAGCAGAGGGCAGGGTTGTACTGCCTCCCTCTACATGCAAGCTCATCAGTAAGGCAGAGAACTCTGTACTGTCTCACCTCTCAGCAGGACAGAACTGCTGTAATCACACCCAGCCATGCCCTTAAGGGAAAAAACACAGCCATCAGCTGCACATTCTCCAAGACATGCAGTCAGTTACTCTCCCCCTGCCCAGGCAACTGGGTAAGGGGCTCAGCTCAAGAGTAAAGGCACGTATGTTCCAGGCTGCAATGCCAGTGCAAGGGCTGAAAGCTCCCACATCACCAGGCCTTCCCCTGGTAGTGACAGCTCCTGCAGCTTCCACACAGGAGCAAGCATGGTGAAGTGGGCTAGCAGCGTACCGGCCATTCAGCCCATCGAGCCCACTCTGCCTTTTAATAGGCAGATCAGATGGTGGTCTGAACTCAATCCTTCCTGCCTACCCTTTATACTGGTCATTGCCCATTGAGAACATATCCCCTCAGTCTTAAAATGCTCAGGGACCCTGCCGGCTGGCTCAGGGCCTCCCACCGGTGGCAGGAGGGCAGGGGAGGTGGACAGAGTTAGATTAAAGAACTTGGTTTGAGAGCAGCCAGCAGGACACACTGTCCACTACTCATACCTCAGCGTAAATAACCAGACAAAATGTTGTATTGAGCTGCCTTAAAGGGTAGAACACAGCTGCTGTCAAAAGCATGACGCAGTAATCCATTGATATTTTAGTCTGATGGAAATCTCAGGGGCTCGGAGAGGATCGGCACAGATCTCACAAAGGCACAGTCCCTGGAAGGTGACGCTCCGGTCAGGGGTCTCCATCAGTTGGGCAGGTTAGCAAGTAGCTAGGCCAGCTAGTATATAACTGAGCTAAATAAACACAGCACCCAGCCTGTACACGTCAGTCTGAGGTGTCACATTAACGGTCATAGCTGTTAATAAACTTGCAGATATTCAACTCTGCAGTGTATGGTTTTTTGTTTAGAAAAAGAACCCACAGTGTGTCAACACCTCGACACTTCACCAGGATGGAGAGCAGCAACAACCAATGGCTTGCACTGACATTTATACCAACTGGTGGTTCCTGTAACATTCAACCATGAGCTTGGTAAGGATTACCAGTAACCAGAAACTGAGCTGGGCTCCCCGAAGCCTGTCCCACCATCTACAAGGTACAAGGCAGAAGTGCGATGGAATACGCCCCACTAGTTTGGATGGGGGCAGCTCCAACGCCACTCAAGAAGCTCAACACCATCCAGGACAGAGCAGCCCCCCGTTCGATTGGCACCACATCCATAAACATCCCACTCCCTCCACTGCCGACGCTCAGTAGCAGCAGTGTGCACGGTCTACCAGATGCACTGCAGAAATTCATCAAGGCCCCTTAGTCAGCACCTTCCAAACCCAGAGCCACTATCATCTCTAAAGACAAGGGCAGCAGATAGATTGGGAACACCATCCCCTGCAATTTTACCTCCCAGCCTCCCCCACACTATCCTGACTTGGAAATGTATCAGCATTCCTTCGTGTCGCTGGGTCAAACTTCTGGAATTCCCTCCCTAACAGCACTGGTCACCACACATACAGAAGGATGTTAATTTGAAGGTAATGGCTGAGACTAAGTTTACCAGCCTGGTCCCTGGAACGAGCTGACTGCTTTAGGAGGACAGGCTGGTGAACTGAAACAGAGAAGACCCTGAGGGGACTTGGCCATGTGATGTGGAAAAGATGTCTCCTCCTTGTGGGGTACTCTAGAACAAGGGGTTAGAGTTTAAACGCAAGGGGCTGCCCACTTAACACAGAGATGGGGAAACCTTTTATCCCCTGAGGGTTCAGTGTCTTTTGGAATTCCTTTACTTAAAAGGCAGCAGATGCAGAATCTTTCAACATTTTTAAAGGCAGAGGGAGATAGGTTCGTGATGACCAAGGGGGATGAAAGATTATCAGGGGTATGATGGGTGGAGATTAAAAATCAGATCAGCCATGATTTTACTGAATAGCAGAGCAGGCTCAAAGGGCTGAGTGGCCTCTCTCTTGCTCACTGAATGTGGGTGCACTCAGCCCACCCAGAGTGTAGGGTTTAAAATCAGGCAGCTCCCCACCACCTCCTCCAGCACCCCCACATCACACATGCCCAAGTAACGGCTGATGCTGATTCCACAACGCCCCGCTCCCCCCCAACCCTGGCTCTTGGCCAGGATTCGGGTGGCACAGAGCCCGTGCCCTGTGCTGCCACCGGCTTGCCCTCACCTCTGGCGTTTCCTGGGCAGGCTGTTGTTCTTGATGAGAAGGGCTTTGATCTGCTCGGCCAGCGTGTCATCGTGTTTCATGGACCACTGCCGCAGGATGCTAGTGGTGAAGTGGTCATCAGGGTGGCACGGCCGGCTCATCACCATCTTCACCATTTCCTCAGTGGGCCTGCCGGGGGTGGGGGGAGACAGAGAGAGAGAGAGAGAGAGAGAGAGAACCTCACCAACTCCGTTACAGCGCCGACCCTCCGACAGCGCCCGCTCCCTCCGCGCCGACCCTCCGA